GCGTATTTATGTTACTATGTCCCCCCTTAGCCTGCTATGTGTAAGCACAGGTGACAAGTTCTCTTTAAGGTGGCATTACAGGTCAATTAGACCCCTGGTGTCACCTTCCCACTCCAAAGAAGCCATTGGAGTGCACATCTTGCTCCAATAGCTTCTTCTCCAGCTTCTGCAGCTGGGCAACGACAGCTGAGGGACCTGATGTGATGCAATTAGCATCCTTTCTGGCCCCATTCAGCAGGGAGGAAATCGGCAAAAGGATTTTCGCCGGTCTCTTTCCCCTCTTCCTGCCGACACCCGTGATGTCATTCCTGGGCCCGCAGGAGTGGCGGCAGAGCCCAATAAGCAGGGTGGGTGGGGGTGCACTACACTGGCCCAGCTCAGCTGCCAGAATTGCTTCCACGTTAAAGCTGACAGTCAGCTTTACACATGTAAACAGATAGCCTTTTGGAAGTCTGTTTAAAGGGGCCTGCTGCCAGCGACGTATGACATATGCTGGTGGCATGGAATGAGTTATTGGGGGGGATTTACATGGCCTAACTTTATGCAGAGGCTTTCTGCTTCCAGCAGTTTGTGATCTCTACTGCAGGGGTAGGCAACTGTTCTTGTAGGGTGGAACATGTAAAACATGTTCTCATATGCCAATGAAGACCAACGGACTTCCATAATATTACCTTACTGTTACCTTTTCATTTCCTGTTCTTTGAGCGCCTCCCATGCAGACCATTGCTCTGTGTACATTCAGGTTGTCTGCATCTGCAGTCCCTGTGCAGAAGGAAGTGAGAACATGTGTGGCAGACCTGTTTGATTTACTGCCAGGAACCATAGGAGATTTTGGCAATACAGTAGAGCAAGAGTGGGCAACCTTAGCACTCCACACAGGTTCTCACTTCCTTCTGCACAGGGACTGCAGCTGCTGACAACCTGAATGTAAACAGAGCAATGGTCTGCATGGGCAGCACTCAAAGAACAGGAAATGAAAAGGTAATAGTCATAGGTAATATTTTGGAAGTTCCTCGGCCTTCATTGACATACTGTATATACAGTTGCCCTTTAATTATAAATACGTTTGTGTATCCGCTCTCCATCCACATTACATTTGTCTCCATCACTGCTCCTAGAATGATCCTTTCTTCCTCATCAATCCCTACAAAGATCCCACAACTTCACCACGTGTTCTATAGAAGCTCTGGGACATGTGAGACAATGTACAGTGTGCTAATAAACCAATGACCTAGTGTTTCATCTGTGCCTTCTAATCCCCGGATAATAGCTGGGCCCTCTGGTCTTTGTTTTGTCTGTGTTGCTGTTTGTCATCTGCTGCTGTTATATGTAATATATCCAGCTGTGATCCCCTAGAAATACATCACTGAAAGCAAGGTGGAAGACTTGGGTCAGTCAGGAAAGAACGATGATTGAGTTCCGTTTTCATTAGCTAAACATATTTAAATCATACCGCTCCCTGGAATCTCTCTGACTATTGGGAGTACAGACCCGGCCATTGACAAGTCTCTATATGGTCCTGTGGTCAGGGAAGTATGGGTACCGCCATTGTTAGCTCGTGTTCGAGAGTAAGCTCTGTAGTTTCATGTATTGCCGAGGTTCTCTAGCTAGCGAGTTGCTGATCATTAAAATCCATCTCTGGGCATCCTTTCTAATCCTGGACGACAAGACACATCCTCCCTATGTTGTGGAGATGAGAAGAAGGGGAGGAATCATGCAGTTTGGCAAAAGACGACTGGGCAGGGCTGACACCATTTCTTGTGATTTCTATCCAAAAAAAGGCTCCACAACTGGAAATTAGGAGCCGAGTGTATTTCTGGCAGATCAACCGGTATTATTCTTCACTTGCAGGGTCTGTAAATGGATAAAACCTATAACACATGGGGAAATGTGCATGCATCACAGAAATATACTGCATGGTTTGTTTTTTGCTTTCTCATCCTCGACTAAAAGACAAGTCCTCCCTATGTTGTGTAGATGAAGAGAGGGGGAGGAATCTGGCAGTTTAGTAACAGGCAACTGGGCAAAAATTATTATTAAAGTTATTCTGGACTAAGAAAAACATTCTCCCTGTTATAGAGAGGCAGAGGAATCCTGTAGTTTAAAGGAGAACTATGAGGTGAGTGCTTTTCACTCACCTCATAGTTCTAGCCGACCTGTAGGTTCTCCTTTAACAAAAAGACAGCTGGGCAGGGCTGACATCGTTTCTTGTGATTTCAGTCTAAAAAAGGTTCCACAACAGGAAATTAGGAGCCGAGTGTGTTTCTGACAGGTATTACTCTTCACTTGCAGGGTCTTCAAAGGGATAAAACATATAACACATGAGGAAATGTGTATGCATACCGTGTTTCCCCGAAAATAAGACAGTGTCTTATATTTTTTTTTTCACAAGAGATGTACTGCATATTTGTTTTTCTTTTTTTGCTCTGACATCTGTGGACAAAAATTCTTATCCTAGACTACAAGACATGTCCTCCCCATGTTTCAGAGAAAAGGAGGAATCCTGTAGTTTAGCAAGCGACAACTGGGCAGGGCTGACACCATTTTATGTGATTTCTGTCCAAAAAAGGCTCCACAACAGGAAATTAGGAGCGGAGTGCAAATCTGGCAGATCAAAAGGTGTAAGGGCCTGTTCACACGACGTCCGTTTTCTGTGCTGACCTGATCCGTACGCTCCTGCACTAAAAATGTATCCCTATGTGTTTTATGGGCTACAGTTCTCACGTGCGCAGTCCGTTCAGGTTACGACAGAAAAAATACTGCATGCCACATTTTGTACGGTCAGGAAACGGTCCGGAAACGCAAAACGTGGCAAAAACGCACTGCACTGCAGCTGACATACTGGCAGCCCCACTCCAGCAAAAAAAAATGTTTTAGTTTTTTTACCTGGAACGCATCAAAAACGCACTGCATCAGTAGCACCGCGTCTGCAGATCAGCACCTGATCTCATGTGAACAGGCCCTTACTCTTCACTTGCAGGGTATTTAAAGACATATAAACACATGGGGAAATGTGCATGCATCGCAGAGATGTACTGCAAATGTTTTTTGTCTTTGTACTCTGATGTAGATTTTGACTCATTGTTGGCTGTAAAGCTGTATGGGGATTAGTAGAATAGGATTAGGCAAGGATTGAACTGTTCTAATAAATCAATATGAAGAATGATTAACCCTTTTAACCCAGAAGATTTAGCTGTCTGTGTTATACGTATATATCAATGTGCTGCCAGGGGGGGGGAGACGAGACATATGGTGTGTCTGCTGTGGGCTGATCACACCCCATAATGGAATACACAGGTACATCCTTTTACTCCGGGGGTCTGATTTACTACATTGAAAAGTCAGGTATTGTTATTATACAGGATTTATATAGCGCCAACAGTTTGTGCCACGCTTTACAAGATAGGGAGGACAGTACTGGTACAATACAAATCAAGAGAAGGTGGTAAGGAGGGCCCTGCCCCTGAGAGGTTACAAGCTACAAGGGGTAAGGTTGTATTGCAATACAGCGTTCACAAGCATCCGAACATGGGCAGGGGAAATATCCCTATCTAGTCTCTTGACTATGATTGGATGTTTGAGTGCGCACAGCCTGACTTCACTTAAGAACACATTAGCCCCTATTCAGATCATTCATTAGTTCCAGATCAGTGGCAGAAGCAGATACAAGGTGGGGGATTTCATTGCAGGAATTGTTTTA